GGCATGCCATGCCAGCCCCACCCCTGGGTCGTGCTGAGACAGCAATCGAAACTTGGCATGGTGGCCCCTGCTTATAATCCAGTGTTTGGGAAGCTGTAAACAGGAGGGTCATTATGAGTTCAATCTATGCAGTGAGAAGACCCTATACATCTTGTACACCCTGTCCTAAAGAAAAAAGAAAAAAGAAAAAATATTTCAATGACTATATAATTTTCACAATGTTATGTATACAAATATAAAAGTCTGTCTAAATTACTGATGTTAAACATGTTCCAATTGCTCTTACTCAAACAAGAATGCAACAAATTTCTAAAATGCATTAATTGAAAATAACTGTCCGAGTGAGACAAGTAAGCCTTCATGGTTTACTAATACTTCCTTTACTGAAAATGTTCAAAAACGAATGCCATTCATTTATTTCAGGTGCTCTATATCTATTTGCTCATAGAGTATTCTAATTTGTCAAGCATTGCTCATAAATAGATCTCCTTTATAGAGGGCTCTGACCTGCTGTTACAGACAGAATAAAAATATGCAAATGCAAACTACACTTGCAATTTTGTCTTATGAAAGTTTCAAGTGACAAATCTCTGGTGGGGAGAAAGAAAAGGTTGGCAGTTTATAATGCCCCAAATGATCAGCCTTCCACTACTCAGGTCTCCTGTGAACTACAGAATGCCAATCCTGTCACAAAGGCAAGGAAGAGAATAAAGTCCTAACGGTTTTAGTTCAGTGGGCAGAAAAATCCCTGGTTCCTCCCCCTCCCCTGGAGCACTTTAGTTCTGTACAATATGCGTTTTATAATACTTAATTTATATTCAGCAATAATGCTCTCCAGCTTTCAGACCATCCTGTCTTATTTTCCTTTGATACTTTAAAAGTGTTTTATTGTTTCTGCTTTAAAAGATGGGGCCAATCTCTGTAAATGAAAAATAGTATTCTTTAACAGTCATAATACACAACATATGAGAGGTCAGAAGCTAGGCTAAACATAAATGCACATCACTTTGTTTAATTTTCAGCCTCAATTGCTCCAATGAAGTATTGGAGACATAAAAGGGCTGGGGAGATGGCTCAGTAAAATAAGCACTTGCTTGGCAAGCGCAAGGACCTGAGTTCAATCCCCAGAACCACAAAAAAATAAAATAAAATAAAATTTAAAAATAAATAAATAAAAAAGTATCAGTACTCTCGGGGGCCAGGGAGATGGCTCAGTAAAATAAGCACTTGTCTGACAAGCACAAGGACCTGAGTTCAATCCCCAGGACCACAAACAAACAAACAAATAACAGGACTCATTAAGTATCAGTACTCTTGGGGGCCAGGGAGATGGCTCAGTAGAATAAGTGCTTGCCTGGCAAGCACAAGGGCCTGAGTTCAAACCTTGGTCCTGCCAAATAATAAAAAATAAAAAAAAAAGAAAGAAAAGAATTGGGGACATGAAATTTCCTAGAATCATGTAAACTGAATTTCTTGGGATCAGGCACATTTTGCCAATACTGAAAAGGACAGAAATAACCATTAACTTATACACCTTTCAATTATATTTAAAACTTTCCTAGTAGATAAGCAAGTATCAGTCTCTGCTATAGAAATTTAAACTGTCACACATTTCACTTCCTGTCTAGGACTTATATCCTACTTTAGAAGAAAGATTATTAAGTAAACACAGTACAATAATAGACAGTTACAGCCTCAAGGACTGGATTACTTGGCAAGATTTCTCCTAAACACTTATTGAGTCTTTTATGGCACAGTCATAAAATAAGAATAAAAATAAAACATAATGTCGTTGAAAATAATGTCATATAATGCACAGCTTCTAAAGAAATTTCGAGAACTTGAGCTTTTCTTTTGGATTTGTACTTGTACAGCCAAATCGTGACTGTGCTTATTCAATGGACTCATTTACAAAAGTGATTCAAAAGCTCAATTATGAACTACATCGACACGAAAAGGTTGCTAATATTTCACGAGATGAAGCTGAATCTGAGAAATATGTATTGAAACAAGCGCAATCGCTATTTCAGCTGAATAATTTGCATTTACCTTTTCTCTAAAGTCATCATCATTGAAATGTTTAGATTTCGAATTTAAGACTGCTATTTTTATGTATGTATTTATTTTTTGTAAACGAGCTTTATGGAGTGAAAACAGAGACTTACAAATAAGTACTTTAACTTTCAAAAGCAGACCACAGACCACGCCGACCTCGCCTGCGCCAGTGATGTGGTGTAAGTCCCAAGTGAAAACTGTGGCAGAGCTCAGCAGCGCATGCTGTTTAATCACTCATCATTTATGCTGTTGGATTTAACATTGTCTTAAATTTTCTGTTAAACTTTCTTTTAGAGGACCAGCCAAATAGCTCGGTGGATTAAAGCTCCTGCAAGCAGGTGCAGGGGTTGGGGGTTCGACCCCTGAGCCTGCTGTGTCGGCCTCATTCCCAGGGCGCACTGAGATGACAATTGAGACTGGACGTGGTAGCCCATGCCTGTAATCTCAGCTCTTGAGTGGCTGTAAACCAGTCGCTCACTGAGTCTGATCTAGTAGTGAGACCCTGAACACTCTTTAGACCCTTCCCTAAAATGCAAAAAAAAAAAAATTGTTTTAGAAGTGAGTGGGTAAGATGTGTCTGTGGGCTGGCACGCCCCCCAGTGTGTTTGCTCACATTCTATAGACATTATAATATTCAGTTTTGTCTTTCCGTAGGATAGACAGTACCTTGAGATCAGTTTTTGGTCTCAAGGTACTGTATTCACAGTGAATAATAAGCAGTTGTTCAAAAAATTATGGCAAATAGGAAATGAATGAGTGTTTCTAGTTTTATTTTATGTATGTATGCATTTGGTACAGGGTCTCGCTACGCAGTTCAGACTCATAGTCATCCTCCTATTTTCAGCCTTCCCAGCACTGAGATTACAGCCTGACCATCATGCCCGGACTCGCCAGCTCAGCGCATCCTGGGGGCGGAGCCAGCCGAGCACGTGGGCCGAGGATTGAACCCAGGTACTTGCGCTAGCCGTGCGGGCATTTAGATGGTGGAGCTATCTCCCCGGCCGTCTAGTTTTAAACTATTTTGTACTGTGACTATGATTATCAATCAGTTCACATTAACTATCTTTATCTCAAGTGTATGATTGTTTTTCTTTTTTCCAGAAACGGGGATTGAACTCAGGCCTTTGCGCTTGAGAGCGAAGCGCTTATTCTACTGAGCCATCTCCCCAGCCCAGGGTATGAAATTTTGCCCATCACATTTCCCAGGAATCTAAATCTATTTCAGGGACATTTTTGCACTCATAGGCAACAGAAGTTCAGAAACAACAGATGTTGCTTTCACGTTAATATTGTCAGATTTCCAACCCTATAGCCACAGCCTGTAGATGCCCTATCCCAATTTTAGTTGAAAATGTTGTGACTACTGTTCCTGTTTTACCAAATGAAATGGTCATAGAAACACTGTTTGTACTAGCAATGGAAAACAGATTTTATACATCACTTAGAGGAGGAGACCAAGCTTTGGAGGGAGAGAGACGTAAAGGCGAACGGGGATGCACAAATAATGAGGACGCTTACTCGTGCTGACTCCACACCATGCGTACAATCATCGTCATCGTCACAAATGTGTCTGATTTAAAAAAACATTAAACGATGCAATTTTTATTACTTTTCAGAACAGGTTCATTTGAAAATTTTATTTGTCTAGAAACGATCAGGTACTCCACAGGGTAATGTGAGATTACTCACAATAAAGTGGAATCTTCACTATCTAGCTTGGAGGAGAATGAAGAATTTGTAGTGAGTATTCTAGATTCTTTCAGGAAGTACTTACGGAAAAGGAATATTACTTGGATTATTCATATATGAAGGTAATATTACTTTTTTGTTACTTTAAATGCAAAAGGAAAACACAGTTAAGGGACATTTATATCATTTCTGTCATAGTATTTTAGTAAAAATTCTGTCTCAAATGGTAATCTGGTCTATTTCAAGAGATACAGTTCTTCAGTTCTTTTCTTTCTTTTTTTGTATTTTAGGGAAGGGTCTACATGGTGTTCAGGATGTCACTACTAGATGAGACTCAGAGTGATCTGCCTGTTTACAGCCTTCCAAGACCTGGGATTACACATCACCACACCCAGTCTCAATTGTCCTCTCAGCATATCCTGGAGGCAGGACCCGAATGGCAGGCCTGGGGATCAAAACCCTGGCCCCGAGCCTGCTTGCTGGTGCTTTAATTCACTGAGCTATTTGGCTAGCCCTGAGATACAGTTCTGTATGATTTAAAAAAAAATTGTATGAATAATATTAAAAGGTAATACTGAGATTTTGGTTTCCTAAAATAAACACCTTCACACAAACTTTATGTTATGTGGTGATTTAAAGTTTGCTAATAAAAGGCTGTTTGTGTATGAAAACAAAGAAAATAAATAAGTAAAAACCTGTTGATACCAAACTAAGTCTATACTATTCTAAATAGAAGACTATCATTAATTACTGGCATTAGATCAATTAATAAAATAGTAAATTTTGAAAACTTTTTTTTTCATTTTTGAGATAGGGTCTCACTGTGCAGTTTGGGCTGGCCTTGTGCTCACTTTTGTAGCCCCCATGCATGTCTTAAACTGGCGGCTATTGCCCTGTCTCAGCCTCCCTGGCGTTATGATTACAGATAACCTTGGTCCTGGGACCGGCATGGCACGAGCTACTAGGGATTAAACTCAGGAAATTGCACTTTCCAGACAGGCGCATAAGCCACTGAGCTACGTCCTTAGCTCTTACAATTTGAGTTTTAACAGAAAGTCCTCGTCTAATTGCCTAAGTTTAACACTAATTATTTCAAATATGCTCTGTACCTGTCGATGCAACAGGCAAATCTATATAACTGACTGCAATTGACATACATACAGATCACCTTTGCTGTTTGGGGACCTGGGTCACTTACAAGAGTTAACAGTCTTTCTCTCTACAGCTCTAAGTACCAATCCACATCTTTTACTTACAGGTGGGTCTGCATCCTCAGCATAGACTGTAGTGATCGGAGTACCCTTGACTGCATCTGGAGCCACCATCCCTTTGTAGACTCGCTTGCTAAATACCGGAGGATAATCGTTCATGTCCTGTAGAACACAAGTAAGAGGTCAGTGCTTTGGCTGAAGCCAGGCTGAAGACAGCTTCCACATGGACTTCAGCTTTTCTCAGATACCTCCTTCACCCTCCACCCTTTCAGCCACTCGGGTCTGTTACTCTCACTCCTGACTGGAGCCCCACAGAAGTGTGCCACATCTCCTAGATAATATTCACGCGTGTGGTATCCATCGGAGGCCACCACACTGAGTGACCGTTCTCTCCCCAAACGATGCACCTTTCAGGGGCTGAAGTGATGCCTGGGGTTTTCTTTAATAGTGTTCTAAAAGTGCAATGTAAAATTCTAACTTGTTGAAAAGAAGGAAACAATTTCTTAAAGGTAAATTTAGGAGTAAGCAATGGCATTTTTTTGTGTTTTGTTGTTGCTCTTCAAAAATATCTTTTATGTTTCTGTAGCAATTATTTTTAATAGAATAATACTAATTAGAACATTTTGAATGTAAATTTTTATTGGCTGATACATTGTGTCCATTTACAAAGTTTGATCCAGCATCTCAGCATGAGTCCAGGGTCCTCACTTTGTAAACATCCTCATCCCTTATAAGAGAAAGCCAAGCATATATAGCTACTTTCTGTTAGTTCAATAAGAAGAAAGACTTAGACTCACAATGTTTAGACAAGATATCATATCTGCATCTTGTACTGTGAATATCTACTACAAAGACAACAATATGCAATATATTAATTATTGTAACTGTCGTACTAACCTGTTTTGAAACTGTTTCATTGCTATTTCTTTCTCAATAAAAATAATAATAATAAAGGAAGCCACAGTATAAGTGCTACACTCGCCCCAGGGTGTTAAGCATGATTGCACTGCAAGAGAGGAAAAGAGGCTTGCTCTCAGCCCTTTTGTTCTTGCTGCCTTTTCCGTCCTCTGCTGCCTTGACCTGTTGTCCCTCTACCACGTGCCACCCTGCCTGGAGCCAGCTGACTATGGATTGAAACCTCCCCAGACATGAACTAAATAAATAAGCCTTTCCTTCCTTGATATTGGGTGGCAGGTATTTTGTCCCAGGAACAAGAGAAAAGTAACTAACATAATTAGGACACTGTGAAATGTCCCTTAAGTGTTGTTTTTATTCTTATACATATTAAAAGATAAGAGGAAATTTTTCCTCTGGCAACAGTACAATAATTAATTTAAAGCTTATCTATACCTTTAGACAAAAGAACTGTTAATTTACTTAAAGATTTAATTAAAAGGAATTTATAGGAAATTATATTTCATTTAATTTTCACCATTGGGCGTACACATGTATGGTCACTTTTTAGCATCACTAGCTCGATATTTATTTATAAAGTACCTCCCTGTTTTATTGCCAGGTTTATGGATGGAGGTACTGTTGTCATCCCTGTACTCAAGTCATTAAACTGCCCTTTGAGCAGCAAAGATGAAAATCCACAAGGAGCATACTCACTTTGCCTAAATGAACTTAACTGTATGAACAGAGATGAAATAAGAAACTCTGTCCTCCGAGGGCAAGTTCATTCTTTTTCTAAAACATTTTATAATTTATTGAGAATCCCTTATCAGGGTTCTCTGTCAGTGTTATATCTTGTGCAGTACTTGTGGTATGGTTCTACAGTCTGTGATTAATTCCTGATTCAAGGCTGGAATTATGGGTGTAAGTACTACTGGGATGGCCAGTGTGAGTGCTTCACCCACCCTGGGGCAGGTAGCCTGAAGGCAATCTCAGGAAGGGAGAGAGCGGCTCTCTCTGGCCGTTGCTGCCAACGATCTTGCCATTTTGCTCTTGCTCTTAGCTGTTTTCTGCCACTGTGAACTGCTGCTCTCTGCCCTGTGCCACCCTGCCCTGGAGCCAGCCGAGTGTGGACTGAAGCCACCACTAACTGTGAGCTAAACAAACCTTTCCTTCCTTCATTTTGGGTGTTGGGTATTTTGTTCCAGCAACAAGAGAAAAGTAATGTTAATTAAAATAGATAAAATATTATTTTGTAATAATCATAATTTGCAGTGTTTCATGTAATTAAGTAGGTAATTTTAGTCAAAAATATTTAGATACAAAGCTAAAATTGCTAATTATCTATTCTCTGCTCACCCACCTCAATTACCTTTTCCTCATTTGTAACTAAACAACAACAAAAAAGAAACAAAACCTTCTGATACAGTCTTTGGTATTTATCCAGACACAACTTTCTGATACAGATAACTAACGAACCGTAAACCTCACTTTTTGGAGAAGAATCAGTATAATCATCTCATACTCTTAAAGAGCTTCTTTTTATGTTTCTAATAGACTTATGAGTTGTAAATATGAACA